CGCTCCTCGTCAAAGTTATCATTCTTCGCTAAAATGCTCTGTGCTAAAGGAATCCTGGGTAAATGTTGATTTCCTCGTGTTCAGTTCTCGCTCGGTCAAAGGAGCATTTTCCTGGAATTCTGAAAACAAACAACCTCTAATTCCGCGAAATTTGCGTTTTGAAAATGTCGTCCAGCCGCTTGCGAGATCCCTTGCAGTTTTTCGTTAACTCGGCCTACCAATCTTTACCTAACAAACCCGCGAGGTACTACCATAGTGAACTGGGTTATTTTTCTATCGATCGCGATAGATTGTTCTCACAAGACAAGTCCCAATTAGGCGTATTGAGCCTGCCTCCCTCTGAGGGCTGCAAAAATCTTGATATAGACCTGAATGTGGGGTTTGAAGGATGGAGAAACTTGCCAAATGTTCAGCAACATCTGGATTCTCTGTTGTACTGGATTTTGCTCAACAAAGAACTAATGACGACCGCGGGTGATTTTCGGTGGGACAGCAACCGCAATTCGGGATTTGGGTCTGTATTTACTTTATTATGTATTATTANTCTGTGCTAAAGGAATCCTGGGTAAATGTTGATTTCCTCGTGTTCAGTTCTCGCTCGGTCAAAGGAGCATTTTCCTGGAATTCTGAAAACAAACAACCTCTAATTCCGCGAAATTTGCGTTTTGAAAATGTCGTCCAGCCGCTTGCGAGATCCCTTGCAGTTTTTCGTTAACTCGGCCTACCAATCTTTACCTAACAAACCCGCGAGGTACTACCATAGTGAACTGGGTTATTTTTCTATCGATCGCGATAGGTTGTTCTCACAAGACAAGTCCCAATTAGGCGTATTGAGCCTGCCTCCCTCTGAGGGCTGCAAAAATCTTGATATAGACCTGAATGTGGGGTTTGAAGGATGGAGAAACTTGCCAAATGTTCAGCAACATCTGGATTCTCTGTTGTACTGGATTTTGCTCAACAAAGAACTAATGACGACCGCGGGTGATTTTCGGTGGGACAACAACCGCAATTCGGAATTTGGGTCTGTATTTACTTTATTATGTATTATTACTTTTCATTTTATAAATACCGAGGTCAATGGTCTACTGCATAATGATTCCCATCACGCAGCTCAGCGGAAAGTATGACAACTGTACACTCTATTGATAATTAGCTTAGCTTCCGCTTAATTTGCGTTGAAGAAAGGGCGAGTAAATTTTTCAAATAGTGTAATCAACGATCAAACGCTCTCGCGGGTCACGGGTGAGGGGAAGGGGAACAAGAAACACGGGTTGGCTCACACTGAGAGATCCTTTTATTAACTTTTAGCTGAGTTTATGCTTCATTACAATCGTTCAGTGTAAGAAACTGGTGTTTCGGTGTTAAGCGCTGCCCAATATCGGGACCTAATTCCGAGTTCAAGTCGATGGAAAACAATTTCGCTTGGTTTAAGTGCCAACGGTGACCAACAGCAATTTTCTCCTAACAATATCCATACATTGTCAAGAGATAAGGTTGTGAGAATATAAAAAATGATCACGAAAGAGAAAATGCCTAGAAGTTTTATTTTTTGACAAAAAATGTTTAGAATACGTACAACCAGGATTGACCTTCCTTTACACAGTGTTCACATCTCTGTTTACTAAAATACCGAATTAACTGTCCTACACTAGAGGGCACAGCGCCTTGCAACAGGCGGCCAGGCTTGGGAACAAATTTTCGAAGTGTTAACTTGAAATCTTCCCTTACTTCCTTTGGTGTCTAAGTACAAGACGGGCCCTACTACATGCTATATACAGATTTGAAGCCATATTTAAAATGCCATATATATTTTCATACTATCAGTCAACCAGGAATGCAAGCATTCTACCTCCAGGAAAAAAAAACATTGATAAAAATAAACCTATAACACTTGGTGATTACCTTGATTAAAATGTCCAAAGTTAGCCTGCGTAGCAGGCGCTTGGCTCCGTTCTTTGAGTTCGAGCTTGCTAGCCGCTTGCTACGCAGGGTAGTCCAAAGTTACCTCCTCCCCTTAAATTTCACCGAGTCTGATCTAATTATCATCCACTGCAGGCTCAACGTCGACTTTGTAACATCACGTGGTAACTTAGCACGCATACTCAACGTTCTTAACGGAAAGGACGGCAAAGATTGGACTCTACTAGCCACACGTTATCGTGGAACAGTTTATCTAAGCCACATTGAAGCTAACAACGATAAAGACCTGTCTTCCTTTGGAAGGAGAGTATGTTACTGGGGTAAAAGATTTGAAGTGGAAGTAACTAACGAGAGAGCACCCAATGAGGGAACAGAGCGGGAAACATTGAAACATGGTCCAATGAAGGCTTACCCAGGGTTCTTTTCAGTCGTGCGATTTCAGCTTGAAAACCACACCATTGCGTTGCGGACAGAGGTTGACGCAGAAAATCAAGTAAGAAACATTTACTTTCGGGTCTTATTGATTTACCTTACGAATCCCCGACCCTGGGCAAAAACACAACATTTTAAAAGTTATAAA